GGTAAGCTTCCTGTGCACAGATTATTAAGGATGCTTGTTTCAACTGTGAGATTAGACAATAGGATCAATGAAAAAATAAGTTGTCACAAACTCCATGGAAACTTTCAGAGAATCCACAAATAGTGGCTTTCAAATGGTTTTGTTACTTTTTGCAAGTTTATAAAATAAGCAGATGAGACAGCATGTCTGATAATTTAGTTTTTCATCTGATAATATTAGAGCATGTCAGTAATGTCTGAGGGGCTTTTATAAACACCATATAACTAACACTACTGGAGAGGGCATGAATTACACAGAGGCTTCTGGGGAGCCCAGTTATTGGGGGGGGGGGGGGGGGGGGGGGCATTTTGCCTTGGCCCCCAAAATGTCTTGAAACGGCCCTGGGTGTGTGACTGAGTTTTGAAGGTGATCTGAATTGTATCAGATGTATAAATATGACATGTGTATAACTTATTGTTTTTTACTGGTAAAAACGTGTAGTGGAGATAAATCTACCTACATTTTACTTTTCAACACTTTGTTTTGTTTTCTCGTTTTTATTGAACTATTTTCCTGTCCTGTCTGTCTCTCATCTTCCTGCATCTCCTCTTAATTCTCCAGAAAATCTGTTGCCTGGATTCTTACCTTTTCACCTCATCAGTTACTTTTGAGCAGGTCAAAGGGATCTCCTGACCGAAAAGCGCAGAGCGCGTTTTCGATGCTGCGTGAGGTGACATCACCACAGCACAGGTGATGAGCTCCGCAGTAGCGCGCTTCAGGCACAAATAAGACAGAAAATAGAGAACATGTGCGGACATGAACGATCGTGTGCTAATTATAGTTTTTTGGTTGCGCCACTTTGAGAATGGACCGTGCACTGGAAGCAGCTGCCTGGATCGCTGTGCAACAATGCGGAACCGGTTCGCAGCAGCGCAAGTCTGCCGGCTCTCCCTCGCGCTGATCTGCCTGTACCGGCTCTCCCTCACGCTGATCTGCGGCTCTCCCTCGCGCTGATCTGCGGCTCTCCCTCGCGCTGATCTGCGGCTCTCCCTCGCGCTGATCTGCCGGCTCTTCCTCGCGCTGATCTGCGGCTCTCCCTCGCGCTGATCTGCGGCTCTCCCTCGCGCTGATCTGCGGCTCTCCCTCGCGCTGATCTGACTTGCTCTGGTCTGCGCGCAACGGCGGGCGGGAAGGGGGGGCGCTTTTGGAAGAGTTGTGCGACACAACGAATCGATGACGCAATTCGTTGCCAACGCTTTTAGTAATCGATTTTCATCGAATTTATCGATTCGTTGTTGCAGCCCTAATACCATCCATTAGGGATGTTAGAAAATATTGATCAATACAATGAAATATTGTATTATTTAGTGTCGTGACATGTCCGTTAATGACTTTTTTAAATGGTGTAAAGACATTTTTTGTAGCTAATGTAGCTAAAACGAAGGAAATCGTATAGATTTTATGACATATTGTTCTCTAATGACCTCAGTAGTGATCGACAACCAGACAGTCGAGATGGTACCACAACATAAATATTTAAGAGTTCTCATTGAAGACAAAATAACCCCTAACCCTAACCAGCTCAGTGGCCTGGTGATATGAGTGTCCACCCTGAGACTGGGAGAGCGTTGGTTCAAATCTACGGTCGGGTCATACCAAAGATTTTAAAAATGGGACTCAATGCCTCTAGCTTGACACTCAGCATTATTGGATTTGATTGGGGGGGGTAAGTGTTAACTGTTGGCATGGGTCACTATCACTAAGGAACAAAAACAAGTCTTCAGAACATTCTTTAAGAATGCAGCGAATTTGCTGGCATCCCTCTGGTTACTCTGATCTCCAGGTTTCCAGATCTCTAAGGAAAACCAGGATTATTATATCTGACCCCGAGCATCCGCCGTGGGCAGAGTTTCAACTGCTGCCATCAGGACGGAGATACCAGGCGATACTGTGCAAGACTGAGAGGGAAGAAATCTGTTATTGCCACGGCGGTCAGACTAAATTCAGGCTTAAGAGGACTTCAGATCGAATGTTGTTGTTTCTATGTGAACTCCTGACTGTGAAACTAATTGCACAACGAGGACATGAAGTTGAACTGAATGACACTACTTTTATCATCAAAAGCAGTGTATCGATTATTTTATTCAGAAACGACATTCAAACTTTAACTATAAGTCTTGTGTGGTGCAATTCAAACTCCCACTGATAGGGGGCAGTAGTTTTTATCGCTTCCATTGTGAAGGAACAAGATCTTGTGATCTACAAAGTTTCTGGCCTGAATTTTCCAATTAAATTCAAATCAGAAGTTGCAAATACCGTCTGGGTCTTAGTATCGCAATATATCGTATAGTTTTTCATGTATTGTGATATTTATTGTTACGGATCCTGGGCTCCTGCACCTTGAATGGCCCAGTCCTCCTCCCTCAATGCTGTTCAGGACCTTGGACAGGTCCTCCGTCAGGCTGGCCTCCGCCTCGGCCCGCCCACTCTGCACCAGCTGCGGACAATATCCTGATGATGAAATGCTAGTGAAAAGGACTCTGGTTTCAGTTTCTCAGGGAGAGATACACAGCTTCACACCCTGTCTTTCTCTCCTCGGTTTTGATCTTAGAGACAAACAACTTAGATTTGGTGAAATTCGATAAAGAACGTGAATAAGTGTGATAATTAAGATAGATTGTTCCGTTTGTGTCACCATCGAGTATTATTAGTCGTTTTCATTTAGTGATCCCGTTTTGTCTGCCACAGTGCTTGAATTTCTGTTTGTTTTCCACTTTAGAGCTCGCTTTAAGTTTTGTTTGTAATAATATCTAGAATAGAGATAGCCGTCGAGATTTGTTTTAGTTAGTTAGTTCCGGCATTTTTCGTTTGGTTGTTAGTTACCGATATTCCCGTGTTTTCTTCCCTGAGACCATTTGTCTCAGGTGTTTTGAGTTTTTCTCCATCGCCTTCATTAATATAGCCGTTGTGTATTTTCCAGTCAAGGACTGATTGATTGTGTTTGCCTTTGTTAATAAAAATACTTTTTATTTACACTCCCCTCTTTTTCCGCACCAGTTTTTGTGTTACCCCTCTACCACAACGCCTAAACAGCTTCAGGGTTTGTAACATTTATCGTATCACCAGATTCTTGCCAATACACACACGTACTGTCCATACCTTGTAAATCTGAAAATAATTGTTCAATTAAAACTTGCCAGTTATTATTCAGTGACTGCCAAGTTTGATTTTAAAGTAACACAAAAATACTAGGAGTACAAGTGTAACATGCAAGGAGAAAGATCCTGCCAAGTAGGCAATGTGCTTGGTCCTAACCATTGATCTTAAGGGAAAAGTAAAAATTTTTTATGTGAACTCAGAAATCCAGGTTTAAATTCAAATGCTTCAGTCATGATGTGCGATCGCTAGATTGTAACAAACAAAATTTAAAGGTTTAAGGCCAGTGAATAAGTGATGCTTGACGGATCCAAGTTCAAAAGGTAGAAGGTATTAATGGGACATGTTTATGTGGTGAACAAATGCAGGAGGAGACTGTTGCACACAAGGAAAGGGACGATGTAAAATTATTCATTTTCACAAACCTAACAAAAGAGCAAAATGTTTTAGGACAAAACAGGCTTTTTTTTTTACACAACTGAATATCTTCTATTAACTTTTCAGGACTTAACTTCTGTACTTTAGGGTGGGTTTCAAACATTTCAGGTGCATCAAGTCCTCACAAGATCAGGGTACCAGAAAAGATGCTGGGATGGGATGTTCCACCTCTGACCACAGAGGTGGAAACAATAATGTGAAAAAAGAATGACAAGATGAAGAGAACCATCTCACTGCAGCAAATATTCTCTGCAGCCACTCAAAAGAGTTTGGTGAACCAATGAGAGCATGATGCCCATAAAAACGAAGGAAGCGGTAAAATCACGCAACAACAAAAGAGTGAAGTAAGGACTATTTTCAATGTGACTGAAAGTACAACCTTCTCAGGACTTCTTCAAGTTTGACCTCTTAAGTCCTCACTAGTCAAGATGCATGATCACTCGAGCGCAACGGAAAAGAGCAAAAGGTTTAAGGCTCGCTGATAAGTGACGCTCCAGAGGTCCCAACCCGTAAACTGAGAACTCGCATGTGTGACGATGAGAGAGGAGCCAAAAAAATGGACAGCAGCAGAAGTCAGACAGTCAGGAGAAAGTGTGCTAAACTGTGAATATTTTAACATTTTTATTTCCTTTAAGGGAAGGAACAGGCAGGGTGGATATGGGGGAGAGATGGGGGTGTAAAAGAGGGCAAAGACAAAAATGGGACAGCACCTTTAAATGAGACATGTAAACTGAGATAAAGTAGGAAATATATGAAGAAACAGACTTGGTGGTAAGAGATTTGGGAATAAAATGCTGTGTAAGGCTTGAGCCTCATCACTATAAACAACTCACGTTCACACACACACACACACACACACACACACACACACACACACACACACACACACACACACACACACACACACACACACACACACACACACACACACACACACACACACACACACACACACACACACACACACACACACACAGTCTCTCCCTCTCTCCACACACACTTTGGTATAAGCAACTCACGTTCGCTGCCACAGCCCAAGAGCTACCGCAAGAATATTTATTGGCTACCAGCTCAATGGCGGTATTGAAGAGAGGGATGGGTAGTTTGGGGGGGGGGGGGGGGGGGGGGGGGATATGAGGAAAAGAGGCTGTTGCCGCTTCTTCTTTGCTTCTATCCTCTCTGTAAGCCAATTTCTGATTCCCTGCTTCCCTCCGCAGCACACAAACACGCACGCGCACACCTTCACACACATACAAACACGCGTGCGCGTGAACAGACACCCTGAAGCGCACGCAGACACCACCAACACGTTGAAGAACAAGACGAAGAAACAAAAAGACTCATTTTCGGGAGAATAAAGTAGTGAGTTGGGGGGGGGGGGGCTGTGTGTGTGTGTGTGTGTGTGTGTGTGTGTCGCATCCCCTTACCTTGCGCGCGCGAGGAGAGCGAGCACAGAACAAGACTCCACAGAAAACAGCGCATCATTCCTCCGTCCGTCATCCCCCTCGTCCTCCTCTTCGTCGTCACCCCCTTCATCCTCCGCCGCGAGAGGCGCGCGAGACAGCGTTCCGTGCCGCTATTAGCGATATGATTTGCATCAATACATCTTCCGCGAGCCGAGCGCGAGCCCTCTAAGCTCTCACCGGGCCGCATGCTGCTTCACATCCAGAAAACGGAGGGGGACAGAGAGAGGGGGGAGGGGGGGTGGGGGTGAGAGAGGAAGAGAGAGAGAGAAAGGGTGAGGAAGGGAAAAAGAAGGGGAGAGGAAGAGAGAGGAGCGTTTTCTTTGCCTCCTCCTTCAAACATAGACTAGATAAATCCCTCACGTCCGAAAGATGAATTCAGTGAATATCCAGAGAGTGGGGGACGCAGAGGGGTGAGGAGGGACGGGGCGCACAGGTAGTCGATGACTCTCGTCAATAGATCTCCGTTCCCTCCAGTTCCATCTCCAAAAAAGTGATAAAGCGGGACAGAGATCTTTAAATCCACACTTCCAGCTTCCTTCGGAAATATCCCAGTTTTTCCTCCGTATGCGGCTGCTAATAAAAAAAAAATCCCCAAATTCCCAGATTAAGCGTTGGTGTCACTCAGAGAGAAATCCCCCCTGGCCGGTTCATCCTTCTCCTTTTCTCCTCACAAACTGGGAGGAAAAGTCTGCATCTTGACACCCCCTCTCTCTCTCTCACTGCAAGATATATCACGGCTCTTTCTCAAAACGCATCGCAAGACAGACCTTTGTACCAAATTTTAAGTTTGAACAGTCCTTCAGCCAAAGAGACGAATAAAAAGGCAGATTTTTAAAATCCTGGCTGTGGTCAGAAAGCAGATGAGACGAGCATCCTCTCCACTCTGCTCGGAGCACTCTCCTGGTGCGTCTCTTCCCTTTGCTCGCTGCTACAGAGAGATGCTGCCTGCCTCCAACGGCTCCCGCGTCTATTCACGTGGTCTTCGGTCGAAATTAAAATCTCAACAAATGGAGGGGGGAAAAAAGAAAATCTTCAATGGAGATTGGTCAGTTAATAGTATCTTCACCAAAACCAAACCCAATGGGAATTTGACCAGAACAGTCAAGAAAAGGTAGAAATTCAAGCTGATAAGATTTAAAGTGCCATAGTTGTGGCACACACTGGTGTGGTGAAAATTGTCCTCTGCATTTGACCCATCCCTGTGGGGAGCGGTGAGCAGCAATGCTGCCTCTGGAACTATTTGGTGGTTTGACCCCCCAGTCCAACCACTTAAAGCACAGTGTCAAGCAGAGAGGCATTGGGTCCCAATTTTATAGTCTTTGGTATGACCCAACTGGGATTTGAACATAGATAGCAAAACCTTAACAGTCATTTTGACCAGCCAACCATTCCTCAGTCTTCTCTCCACATTTCAATATGAACTCAATGCCAAAGATGAAACAAATGGATTTTTGATCATATACGATATTCATTTGAACGACACTGAGCTCTTCAAAGCATTTTGTTGACTTCTTTTTAACTGCCATGTACACCAAAAGGAAATTCTGATGAATTCCAATTGATTTTCCACTTCTAAATAATAAGAGTCCATAAAGCCACAATTTAGAGCTTAAAATGTTTTCTCTTGGTGTAGTGCATCTTTTTAAAACTATTTTTAACATTTGGTCAAATTGACTTGGTTTCCTGTAAATTTACAGGGCTGTGCCTTTTAAGCCGCAACATGGCGGCGGCATCAGGAAGCCTTTGGTCAACCCATGGCAGTAATGTGGTGCAATTGTGTGTTTTTCACAAAATGTAATACAGTGACCGTATGAGGCAGGAGATGTCTGTGCGGTAGACGCTCTGCCACGGACATCCTTTTAGCTTGGACGTAACTTGTTTTTAATCCCAATGGCGTATACAGTAGCTAAAAATAGATTGTGATGTAATGTCTCAATGGATTGTGGGATGTAGCCCTAGACAAGCAAGGACATATTTTGCGTGGATACACATGGGTCCGAGTTGCTCCGCTCATCTCAAAGTTGTAGTTTTGTTTCCTAAAGATGCGCAAACAGGAAGGAACTATGCACCGCTGTTCGGGGGAGGTGCTAATCAGAATCTTACCAGATTGGATGTCATTCATTTTCCAAAGCCAGTTAAGGTTTGCGACAACATGAAACAGCTGGAAAGGGAAACAGGTCAAGCTAAAGAGAGAAAAAGCAAAGAGGAGGCAGTATTTAGGTGGAAGAGTGGTGTTTCAGATCAAGCAGATCAAGGTGTGTGCGTATATTTGTTCCATATATTTTTCCGGCGGGAAAGATTTTACATCCAAGATTAAGAGCCAATGCTAGCAACACTCTCAGATGGAGTTATCCAGGAGGCAGAGGTGAAATGAAGAAGCTCAGCCTAACATCTGTCCTTGATTTTTCAATTAGCAAATGTGGTTTGTTTGTCTAGCTCTAGCACCCAGCAGCATTTACACGGTTATGTTAACTGTAGAATAAGCTATCAAAATTTTTTTTCACAAACCGCTCCAGAAGATGGCTGCCCTTCACATTCCCGTCAACTGTCAGCTCCTGAACCAACCCGAAGCTCCTGATTCTCTCCATCTCTCTAGTTCGCCATTTCAGCCGATGCCATTTGCAAATGCAAAAAATACTACCCATGTTTACTTGCATTTTAAATATTGTTGCTGTCCAGGGCAGGGCACACAATTATGACAACACCTACTATTGTGCAAAGGCATCAGTGTGCTCTGAGCAACCCCCAACCACCACCCCATCCCCACTCAGACTCCCCTGATAGAGGGTCAAGCAGACTGCAGCAACAATCCGGCCCCCTAATAGTACAAAGCTTCTTCTTATACTACATAAATTTAAAAAAAAGTTTCAAAAATGTTTGTAATTTGTCTCAACTAGTCAACAACAGTCTCAACCTAGGGATACAGGTTTAGATCATGTTTAGGTGCTCTCAAGCTAGTATTTGACTGGCTTTTGACAGTTAGCGATGAAAGGCAAATGCGCGAAAGTTTCCAAAATGTCTTAAGCTTCCCACTGTCTTTATGGGTGACCCCGCGAGGAAAGTTGACCATTGAGCAGGATTGATGGTTTATCCTTTGAGGTCCATGTGGCGGGTGAGGTGGTGCTCACTCCTCAACCCTGCCACATGGACCCAAGGGATAAACCATCAACCCTGCTCAATGGCCAACTTTCCTCGAGGGGTCACACCCATTAGGACAGTAGGAGGGTTAAACTATTTGCAAAAGTTCTCAATTTACGTGCTTGGGTCACAGGGCCTCCTTTAGACACTGCTTTATCTTACAACATTTTAGAAAGTCTGCAGGACAAATGTCAGAACGTACATAGAGTATTTGTTGGCATCTGGAACCTGTCTGAAATTCTTCTCAAAACCATCTCAAACCCAGTGGTTCTCTAAGGGTGTGTTTGGTGCCTCTAGTAAAAACTGCCTACTTTCCGGCTTAGGCAAGGGAGTGTGCAGCGCCAAGATTGTCCATCCGACATGCAGTGCAGTACAATGACAACTTTCAACTGTCTCACAATCCTGATTTGTTTTAAAGTTTGTTGGCCCTCTGGAGGCCTTTGGTGGCCCCAAGCTATTGTCTTCCCTACCTATCAGCATGCAGTGCTTCTGCTAAATCCACATTGGTTATCATGAGTGGGAAATGTCAGACGACTAAGGGTTAGGGAAAATCAGGGTAAATTTGCAAATATCGAGGCAGATATTGGACAATTGATGACCTAATGGGCCAGGTCATGTGAGACAAATTATGTAACTGCAAACAAATGATAAAGGGCCTGTTTTTGTATAGGCCCTTCTTATGGTTCTACAACCCTCCAAGGTGCTTCACAACACAATCAGCCATCCACCCATACACACACACATTCACACACTGGTGATGATGAGCTACGATGTAGCCACAACTGCCCAGGGGCCCACTGAGGGTGGCAAGACTGCTGAACATTGGCGCCATCGGTATCTCCAACCACCACCAGCAGTCAAAACCAGTGTCGGTACAAGATCTGCTCGGGTGCAAGATCGGCTCGGGGTCCGTCGACGTCAAAGCAGTTGATTGGCTGAACATGAACCTTACGGAATTACGTAATCACGTTACGTTGGTCCAGGCAAATCTTTCTGTTGGAAAGATGGACAACTTTTACAAAGAAATCCATCATTACCTCTTTGAAAATATCCTTTAGCATAGAGCTGCATGTATATTAGGGCTGAACTATTAACTGCATGTGCAATTAAATTGCGATGTGACAAAAGGAGATTTTCTAATCGCAAAGGCTGCAATTTGGCAGCGAGTGGTTAGAGCAATGCTAATATACGTGGAAAAACCCATAGGAATGCTAATGCTAATATCACCGATTACATTCTTACAAATTATGAATTAGAAACGTGCCAAATGATTACATTTGGAGTCTAATAGAAAGTAAAACTACCATCAATCAAATAAGTACAGACAGGTATTTTAGTAAAGCCAGAAAACACTTCTTTCCTGCAAATACAATTTCACAGGTGTTGCTAATACCTATGATCCTTCAAGAGATGTGCTCAAAGAGGAGTTCAACATTATGAATACAATATAGTATTTTATTTTACAAATACCATTATAAACACAAACTTACGTCTTAAGAAACATTATTTTAATAACGAAACTGCTAAATTCTTTCCAACAGTATAGATGTGTAGTGTATTTTGTCCGAGTGGGTTTGCCGTACTTTGACGTCATCGGCAGTCGAAGGACCCCGAGCCGATCTTGCACCTGAGCAGATCTTGAACCGATGCCGGTTAAGTGTCTTGCCCAAGAACAGAACATCAGGGTCCTCAGGCGATAGACGGAATTAGACCTACAACCGTCTGATCACTGGACAACCCACTCTACTTCCTGAGCTACTTCTGCCCACAACAGTTGGAAGAAATTTTATGTTGTGCAATATTTTGATTTCTTTTTGAATCGTTTGCAATTGAAAAGCAATGTGAGAAGGGCCTGTGAGTCGCCTGATGAAATTAGAAACCCCTGCAAATGTTTCAAGGGCTTTTCTTACAGAAGTATCTTAATTTGCAATGCTATACCTAAAGCCTGCCACACACGAGAGCAATCTGCTGGGCAAACGGCCTCGAATGACCATTTGCTCAGCAGATACCTCGCCGTGTGCGCCTGATTTTCACCGAGTTTTCCGCCTCACGAGATGCTGAGGTGAATATCTGACCAGTTAGATATTTTCTGCCTTACGGGGGGTAAAAACTTGCCGTGTGCACACTACTGAGCTCCTGGCTGAGCTGAAATATTCTAGTGACCAATCAAAGAGTGTTCTCCGCTCACTTGACCCCAAGAAGGCAGCCCCTTGTCTGCATGTCAGAAAATAAACAAAACTGAGACAGAGCTGGAAATGGAGGAAAAGTCTCTACTCCAGACCTGGGCATTTTACGGCCCGCGGGCCACATCCGGCCCTTTGGTTGACTTTGACCGGCCCGCGTAAGGTTAATTGGAAATTACAAAATAAATGTATTTTCTCATTTTACCTCATGCATGGGCTAAGGCTGCATTGCTTTTATTTTGAAGTTGTTTTTTACGTGCACAATGACGCAATACGTATAGCAACAAGTGCCCGCGGTTGACATGGTGATTGTAGCCTGAGAAATGTCCGCTCATGCAAAAAAAAAAAAAAGTAAGATGCCAAATACAGGATTTTCAACAAAAATTGGACTGCTAAGTATTTTTTTTACTGAAGTCGGAGGTAAAGCCGTGTGTTTGGTTTGCGGGGAGGAGATTGCCGTGTTTAAGGACTACAATTTGAGTCGGCATTACGACAAGAAACACTCAGAAAAATACAAGAACTTGTCTGATGCTGAGAGGGCACGGACATCCGAAGCTTTGCTAGCAAAGTTGCAAAAGCAGCAAGGCTTTTTTACTAAGCTTCACACATCCAGGGATGCAGCAACCAGGACCAGCTTTGTGATATATCCCACAAAATAGCTAAAAACAGCAAGCCGTTTTCGGAGGGAGAGTTTGTCAAAGAGTGCATGGTGGACTCTGCCGCACTAATATGCCCTGAAAAAAAAGGCGCATTTGAGCAAATCCCGCTGTCCAGGTGAACCGTGACCAGGAGGATCGAGGACATTGCGGGGAACCTGGAGCTTCAGCTGCAACGTGAAGTGGCAAGTTTGGACTTTTTCTCATTAGACGGGAGCTGTGATGTCCGGGACACAGCCCAGCTGCTCGTATTTGTCCGGGGATAACGGACTTCAAGCTCACAGAGGAGCTGGCAGCAATGCGGTCGATGAAAGGGACAACGACAGGGAGTGATCTTTTTACAGAGGTAAATGCGTGCACGGACAGTCTGGGATTGAAATGGGAGAGACTGTCAGGTGTCACAACAGACGGTTGTCCAAATCTTAAGCCGGGCGTACACTGTGCGACTTTTTCACTTTTTTGAGCCGATTTTCCAGTCGTGCGAGAAGCCACGACATCGGGGCGAGTTTTGCGCCGAGCGGTCGTGTAGTGTACAGGGGGTTACGAGAGGCGATTAACACCACGTGACCAGCCGCCGATCAGCAGTCGTGTG